TGCGATGGGCACCATCCGAAGAATGGACATATTTGAAACTTGGACTTAGGGGGGGAGGGGGGGCAAGGGCAACGTACGTAACCTGAACATCTGTACCCCCATAATATGCTGAAATAAAAAAAATGATAAAACTAAAGAAAGAAATTTAGATTAAAAACAATTGTTTTAGCATGGCCTGGTAGTACATGCCTGTAGTCCCAAAACTGGGAATTGGAGTCCAGTCTGGGCAACATAGCAGATCTTCATCTCTAAAAAATAATAATAATTAATTAAAAACAGCCTGACGTATTTTAATGAGTAGAGTCGAATTGAGACTTCAAACTTGTTCATGAGTCGTGATCATTCATCATTGTTACTATATTAAAAACTGTTTCAGAAAGGAAAATTGTAGCCAGTTCCAGGTTTATTGTAGTTTGGTAAATAAGTTAAATTTATCACAAGTGAATCATAGATTTTTAATGTTATGATTCCTTTTGTATACAATTTTACTAACAAATTTAAAAGGAGGGAAAAGAAAATCTAATTATTTTGAAATTATAAAGTTGTCATTAGTTTAACCTTGAGAATATCTGTATTGATAGTAGATTAAAAATTCTATTTAAAAATTATTTCAACTGCTCTTGTAACTCCTCCCATAACTCACCTTACTCACTCATTCAAACCAGACACTTGCATACGGGGACATGAACCACGAGTGGATCGGCAACGAGTGGCTCCCCAGTCTGGGCCTCCCGCAGTACCGCAGCTATTTCATGGAGTGCCTTGTCGACGCCCGCATGCTGGACCACCTGACGAAGAAGGACCTCCGCGGGCAGCTGAAAATGGTCGACAGTTTCCACAGGTAACTCTGTGCAAGTAGTTCTTACTACCTGACTAAGAAATTTTTCACTGTTGCCATCTCTAAATAATCTCTCTCTTTTTGTATTAGAAACAGTTTCCAGTGTGGAATTATGTGCCTGCGAAGGTTAAATTATGACCGAAAAGAACTGGAAAGAAAAAGAGAAGAAAGTCAGAATGAAATAAAAGGCTAGTACATTGTTTAATTGATTTAGTAGCATACTCTTGCTTGCTGGGGTAGTAGCAGCATCAGTGATTTCCTATTTTTAAAAAAATCAGGAAAAGCTTGAAGTGGAAAAAACTATCTGGCATTATTGCGGAGGAGGAAAAGATGAAAACGAATGCTTCTGAGAGCCTGTTCTGTAGCCAGAGAACTTGCACCTATTACGCTCACGTCAGTCTGCAGGCTGAATGTCTCAGGGCTGGCATTTTTCCTGCGACTTTAGAGTTTTCCTTTTGTTACGACCTGTGTACTCTTTTGCTCAGAAATGCTGTTCCATGCTGCTAGATAACAACAGAGCAAGGTGTGCTGACTTGATTTACATGTGAAAAATATGGTTCTGGGTGTTCGTCCAAGGGCTTCCAGAGCACAAAAGAGCACCGTGCAGTTCTGCTCCCAGCTTGGAGGGAAAGAGACGTAGAGTTTAAATGGCAGCTGGTCCTTGAAGGAGGAGCAGGTGCTTCTTGGGGGTGGGGTGGGGTAAGGAAAAGGCATTTCAGTAAGAAAACAGAGGCCAGGGAGGTGTAAGGTATACGGGACGTTCACCCAGAAGACGCGTGCTTCTCTTCTCTCTTGGCCAGCCTTTCAGTGCCCCTCTGACCAAAGATAGTAATTTGCTTTTAAAGTAAGACCCTGTGCATTAAGCTCAAAGTCAAGTCTCTAAGAATTTTTGGAATGCAAGGAGATCAATAATAACAGTAATAATGATGAGAAGCAAGGCTTATTGAGTAGTGAGTAGATAATGGGAAGTGTTCCAAGCACTTTCATAGGTCGATTTATTTAATCCTTTCCACAGCCCTGTAGGTGCTGTTTTCATCCCCAGTTTTTACTAAGAAAGAAACTAAAGAGGGCCAGGCATGGTGGCTCACACCTGCAATCCCAGCACTCTGGGAGGCCAAGGCAGGAGGAGCTCTTGAGCTCAGGAGTTCAAGACCAGTCTGGGCAACATAGGAAGACCCCATCCCTATAAAAAATGTTAAGGTCAGCCAGATGTGGTCGTGTACAAGTGGCTACAAAATTAGCTCCTGCTCCTCAGGAGGCTGAGGCAGTAGTATCACTTGAGCCCAGGAATTCGAGTTTACAGTAAACTTTGATCTCTCCACTGAACTTCAGGCTGAGCAACAGAGTGAGACCCTGTCTCTTAAAAAAAAAGAAAGAAAGAAAGAAACTAAAGGAAGATGAAAATATGGTTGGTAGATAGCGCATTTGAAGAGTAGTTTACTCATGATTGAGTTAATGGTGAATCATGAAAAATATCGTAAATTGACATTTATATAATATGTATGGAAGTGTGGGTTTTTATACAGAGAAGGACATTGGAAATGAAATATGTCAATCTGTTTCATTTGTTTTCTGTATCCATTTTACATCTTTTTACAGTTAACAAAAACTGTCTTTGGCAGTGATTGGTGATCATCTGAATGTATTTTTACAGAGTGGCTATTTTTAGATCTAGTAGAGCAAATTTAACAATTTATTAATTTGCATAACATCTTCCCCCAAGGTTTCTAATATGCTGGAGAGTATCTGTAGGTTTCTCTCTTTTCAAAATGGCACAACATGAGCAAGGCTTGAAAATTAGACATAAGTGATGTTATGTTGAATTGAACAAGGTGTCTAGATTGTTACGGTGCCAACTCCTGTGATGGGAAGAAGTATTTCCAGAGGCTCTCCTGCCTATAAAACACATTCGTACATGTTAGGATTTAAAGTTCTTACAGTTGTTTTGGTTTCTGATCCCTGGATCCTCCTCATTTTCTGTTCTCTAGAAATACAGTATACATGATACCTTCATTCCTCTTGTGTTCACTGAAGACCAAGTTCTAATGGGAGAGTTTCCGTTAGAATGGAGCAGGGCCAGGACACCAGTGTCTAAGTGCGGCAAAGGTTGTCCATTTAGCAGTTCCTCCCAGCACTTGTGGGGATCATGCCCTTTGTCAGGAGCCAAAGGATTAGGAACAACGGTAGGGATCTCTCTCTTGCGTTATAGGGTGTATGTGACAAAGATGGCTTTCCGAAGCCACTTTTATAATTGTTTTTATTCTTTTTCAGACGTGCTTGTTTGGAGCAATGATCGAGTGATTCGCTGGATCCTGTCTATTGGTCTTAAAGAATATGCAAACAATCTCATCGAGAGTGGCGTTCACGGTGCACTTCTGGCCTTAGATGAAACCTTCGATTTCAACGCACTGGCGCTGCTGTTACAGATCCCGACGCAGAACACACAGGTGACACTGAGCCTGTCCGTGTCTGCACTCGGCCACAGCGTTCAGTCGGTTCTCCCGATTGTAGCCATTTAGTTGTTCACTTGAACGGAGAGAAAACAAAGAACCTCAGACAGCTAGTAATCTCTTTTCATAACTAATCTGTAATACAGTGCTTCAAAATTAAGCATTCTTTTTTTATTATTTTGTGTCTCATCTTTCCATTTCTGTTACAAGCATGAGAGTCTTGCAGTAAACTAAGTAAACAGAGTCTTTCTTCTAGTCCATATGCTTTTAAGAGTGATATACATTTAGTTCTCAGGGAAAGAAATATTCTAGGTGTGCCACATTGAGGTTTTATTAATTTTCTTCTATTTTAAAGTCTTGGTTTATATAACAATTATGAGGCCAGGAGAGGTGACTCATGCCTATAATCGTAGCACTCTGGGAGGCCAAGGCAGGAGGATCACTTAAGCTCAGGAGTTTGAGACCAGCCTGAGCAAGAGCAAGACCCTGTCTCTACTAAAAATAGAAAGAAATTAGGTGGACAACTTAAAAATAGAAAAAATTAGCTGGGTGTGGTGGTGCACACCTGTAGTCCCAGCTACTCGGGAGGTTAAGGCAGGAGGATCGCTTGAGGCCCAGAGTTTGAGGTTGCAGTGAGCTAGGCTGATGCCACAGCACTCTAGCCTGGGTGACAGAGTGAGACTCTGTCTCATAAATAAATAAATGTATGTATGTATGTAAGCTAACATCCTTCAAGTTAAATTGATGAAAGTTTTGATTGTTGTTTTGTTATTTCAGGCTCGTGCTGTCTTGGAAAGAGAGTTTAACAACCTTTTGGTCATGGGGACTGACAGAAGGTTCGATGAAGTAAGTTTTTGGCCTAATGTTCTTTACATTTATGTTCAGTATAAGCTATTTTATTATCCTCAGGACAACCATGCAGCTAGGCTATCTCTTCAAAATGTGGAGATACTTTTACTTTACAAGTTAAGCTTTGCTCTCACATAGTTATTAACAAATCAGCTGGTAAGAAAGTATTGGGCCGGGTGCAGTGGCACATTTGGGGAGGCTGAGGTGGGAGGATCACTTGAGCCCAGGAATTCGAGGCTTCAGTGAGCTGTGATTGTGCCACTACACTCCAGCCTGGGTGACAGAATGAGGCCCTGTTTTGGGGGGAGGGGGAGACTAATATCATCAGTAAGACAGTTTTGTTTTCATTTTCGTGATTTAGTTTTTGACACTCTTCAAAAATGGTTTTTTTTTTGTTGGTTTTTTTTGTTTGTTTTTGGAGACAGGATCTCACTGGGCTAGAGTATAGTGGCATGACTGTAGCTCACTGCAACCTCAAATTCCTGGGCTCAAGCAATCCTCCTGCCTCAACCTCCAGAGTAGCTGGGACTACAGGCGCTGCCACCATACCTGGCTAATTTTTCTGGGTTTTTTTGTTTGTTTGTTTGTTTGTTTTCTTTGTTTGTTTAGTAGAGACAGGGTCTCACGCTTGCTCAGGCTGGTCTCGAACTCCTGAGCTCAAGCGATCCTCCATCTTAGCCTCCCACTGTGCTGGACCCTTCTTCAAAAATGGTTTTTATGTCATGAAACACAAAACATTGCAGGTTAGGAATGGAGTCTGTAAATGGTGTTTTGGGGACCACTGGATGTCCTACTCCAGTGCAGAGCCCTTTTATTTTAATAGGGAAACGTTTCAGAAGCATTAAAAAACACCAAATGTAGGCCGGGTGCGGTGGCTCACGCCTGTAATCCTAGCACTCTGGGAGGCCGAGGCGGGTGGATCGTTCTGAGCTCAGGAGTTCGAGACCAGCCTGAGCAAGAGCGAGACTCTGTCTCTACCAAAAATAGAAAGAAATTAATTGGACAGCTAAAAATATATAGAGAAAAAATTAGCCGGGCATGGTGGCGCATGCCTGTAGTTCCAGCTACTCGGGAGGCTGAGACAGTAGGATTGCTTGAGCCCAGGAGTTTGAGGTGAGCTAGGCTGACGCCACGGCACTCGCCCCAGGCAAGAGAGTGAGACTCTGTTTCAAAAAAAAAAAAAAAAAACACCAAATGTTGGCTTGGCACTGTGGCTCAAGTCTGGAACCTTAGCACTTTGGTAGGCTGGGACAGGAGGATTACTTCAGGCAAAGAGTTCAAGACCAGCCTGGGCAACAGCAAGACCCCATGTCTACAAAAAATAGAAAAATTAGCTGGGCATGGTGATGTGTGCCTGTATAGTCCCAGCTACTCGGGAGGCTGAGGTGGGAGGATCCTTTGAGCCCAGAAGTCTGAGGTTGCAGTGAGCTATGAGCCCGGGCTACAGAGCAAGACTCTGTCTCAAAAAAAAAAAAAAAAAGACACAGAATGTTAATTTCCCCTTATACAAAACCATGACTCATTTATTCCCACACTGTTGCTATTCTCTTCAGTGGACCTCAAGAAAACTGGAATTTGACAAAGAAAATAGGAGGGCATCTCTAAAGATAAAGCACTTTTTGGCCATGTCCTGGCATAAGACAGAAATGTTTACAGCTTCAAAACTACTTTTTAAGACAAATAAAAATGTATTATATAGCAAGAAAGTGATTCCTGCAAGATCAGAAGTGAAGCGTGATGATAGACCTAAGGAACACATCCCTGGGTGGCCCAGGGTGTCCTCATTTATGCCATTGGGGCCCAGAAGGGGTGTCACCATGCCTCCTGAAATTCCATGAAGTTCCAGCTTGGGCAGTGAATTGCATGGTCATCAAGAAGAGGTTAAAGACATGTGATCAAGAATACATTCCTGACTTCAGCAGTTATTTTAAAGAACAGTTAACTTTACATCTCTGTCCGTTATTTTTATTTTTTGTTTTTGTAAAGAGGAAGAGTCTCACCATGTTGCCCAGGCTGGACTCAAACTCCTGGTCTCAAGCAATCCTCCTGCCTCAGCCTCCTGAGTAGCTGGGACTACAGGCACACACCTTTGGGCTCAGCTGATGTCTTTTATATTCAAACGAATCTTATTTTCTGTTCTTTAATTTACCAGGATGATGATAAAAGCTTTAGGAGAGCACCTTCATGGAGAAAAAAATTTAGACCAAAGGACATTCGTGGCTTAGCTGCTGGGTCAGCAGAGACTCTCCCTGCAAACTTCCGAGTTACTTCTTCTATGTCTTCGCCCTCTATGCAGCCAAAGAAGATGCAGATGGACGGTATGTGATGAGCTGTGGTACCCGCCACTTTTTGGGAGCCTGAGCAGCTTCTTGTCTGGAACGTGAATAATGACTAGAATGGCTATTTACTACATTACAAGGCATTTGAGTATGATTGCATGCCCCAGTATAAATGTTTTAAAATTTAACTCAACGTTTGTTTTTAAAAGTTTAACAATAACAATAGAATTTTTAAAAAATTATTGTCTGGTTAAATCTTAGCATATTCTTCCAACTAATACAGCTAAGTATTCGTCTGTGTTCTCAGTGTGAGATTGACATCCACACTTGCACACATGTGTGCGTGACAGGCCGCGCTGGACAGCTCTTTCGTGAAATAGCAGTCGCAGCTTCCAAACCCCATAATGCGCTCTCAGCACTGCCCTCCACACTGTAAAATGACCGAAAACTTTAAGTACACAATTTCCAACCTCTTCGAGCTCTGCTTTTCCTATGTTCCTTCCCTCCCTGCTGTTATTTTTCCATGTGATTACCCTTGTATCCATTAGAGAAGGACAGGGAAAAGGAGGTGATCCTGGGGGAAGTCACCAGGGAGACAAGCTCAGCCCTGTGGAACATGCCATCGAGAGGGCACCCCGAGTGTTAGCTCGTAGGGACTTGCGGGTTTCCCTTTGACAGCCGCTTTTCGCCTTCGACAGCTTTTTTTTTTTTTTTTTTTGAGGCAGTGTCCCACTCTGTCGCCCAGGCCAGAGCGCCGTGGCGTCATCGTACCTCACGGCAACCTCACACTCCTGGGCTCGAGGATCCTCCTGCCTCAGCCTCCCAAGTAGCTGGGACCACAGGCATGAGCCACCACACCCATGTAATTTTTTCTGTTTTTTGTAGAGACGGGGTCTTGCTCTTGCTCACGCTGATAGCCACTTTGATTTGAGGATGCAGCTGGTTAAGAGTTGGCCATGGTTTCCTGACGGCTCTCTCAGCTCTGACCTTGTACTCATCTGATGAAGGGCAGTACACACAATCAAGAACCAGACTGCCTGCACTGTGCCTCAGTTTCCCCCTCTGTGAAATGGTCATCACAGTAGTATCTTCCTCATAGGGTGGTTGTGATGATTAAATGAGTCCTTCACAGAGCCGGGAGAGTTCTGAGTGCTGCATCCGTGTTGGCTGTCCAGGCGTTTTGGCAGCCCCCGTGTTACACGTAGACAGTTTATTCTCACTGCTGATGTGGATGGGCGGGCTCGGAAAGTGAGCAAGTTTAAGAACTGTCCTGATGGGATTTTTACAGTTTTTTCTGTTAGCTTCTCCCGTGGTGGGTTTGCTCTCTCTCGCATACATAAAGATGAAGAGAAAAATACCTTTATATAAAACCTTAGTTAAGCTGGACACTTGGTGAGAATGGATTGCAGGGCAACATTTTTAACTTTTAATAAAAAGCTGTAAATTTTTTTTTTTTTTTCCCAGAGTTTAGTACTATACTTGAGGGGAAAGTAAGAATGTCTTTAACTATTAACTTTTGAAACATTAGCATTTCTCTTCCAAGGAACATGCAGATAATCCTTACGAATTTTAAGTGTAACTTGGCCTTCAACTTACTCTCTGCCGGCCTACTGGGCAGTCCAAATGAGCACCTTCTTGATTTCCTTGTAGGTTCAATTTCAGTTTTCATTATTGTAAGTCACATTTCCCCTGTTAGATGTTAACAGCAATATTAAGTATGAGAGTTTGAATAGATTAAAGATAAACCTAGAAAAAAGTGTAGGGAATATATTTAACAGAGGATGACTGCTTACTAAGGCATAAACCAGGTAAAAGGGATTACTTTAATGGCTTCATAAATAAGGGAATGTCAGGTAAATTCCAGAAGGTTCCCTGGGCTCTTGGAAGGATCTGTAAAGATTATCCATTCACCGGCAGTCCCAGTCTTACGTGTTTTCTGGAACCACGGCAAGATGTTGATAAAAAAGTATCCCTGGTGTGCCTGTGGGAAAACAAAAACTGGAAGCAGCAAATGTCCTCTACAGATTTTGAAAGTTCCTTATCCAGTTTGCGAGCGGGAATCAGGCTTACCTGTGGCAATGCAGTGTGTTTCTTGAACAGGAAGCAAAAAATCAGTGGTCTCTATTATTTCTGGTAGAAACTGAGACTGGGCTTCAGTTTTCTTCCATCAGTCCTTGTCCACACCCCACTGCCCGCCAGGCCCCACCCCTGCAGCCAGGCCTCTCCACTTGCTGTGCCGCCACCAGCAGCGTATGCAACCCGTCCACCCCCGCCCTCACGGGGCTGCGGAACACCTGACAGCACCACTCAGTCCCTGCCTGGGCGCCACGCCTAGAGGCACAGTCCTCAGGGCAGAAAGAAAAGCCCAGTTGGTCTGTGGATGTAGAGTCTAAGGAGAAACGAAACAAATGCTAAGTAGTTGTCACTGAGGCAGACGTACATTTTGAAGTCGGTTTTATACCATTTGGTGCTCCACTGCTATTTCAGAGTTACCTTCCAGTGACTCCCAGGGCCCCTCGGGAGTTGGGGAAGGCCGCCACTGGGTGACACTTTGATTCTCTTTCTCTGGCTCTGTCAGACTCCCCCCAGATCCCTCAGTAGGTGCTATTGTAGGTGTGAAGATGTTTGTCTGTGCTTGTGCCCTCATGTGACGTTCTAAGACTAACTGCACGCTGTGTTTGCACGCCTCCTCTCGTGGTCGTCAAAACAGGCAATGTATCAGGAACACAGAGGTTGGATTCTGCTACAGTCAGGACTTACTCCTGCTGAAGCCTCCTGTTGGTGAGTAGAGAGCAACTTAATGCCTGGAGATTGTTCAGAGGTGCGGCCCTCAATGAGCACGAAGCCACGGTGTCAAACTAGGGCTGTTGGCTTTGGCCCATGAGAGCCAACTTCAGTTCATTGGGGAGTTTTAAAACTGTAGACATGCACGCTCTCTGTACCCATTAAGATGATTTTGGTGTTACAGTTGCTCATAAACATGTTAGTGTGTCCTTGCCTTTTAAGGAAAAATGTATTTTCATATTTTTACTTTTTCCTTACAACTGAAAATACTGGCTCATTTTAAGTGCCAGTTGATGTCATTACGGGGTGGGCAGGAGAGCAGGATGTGACAGAAGGGAGCATAACTCAGGTCTCAGCTGACTGCCCCAGGAGCCAGGAGCATGGGGGACATCTCTGCCACCTTGACGTTTTCATGCACGCTGATACAATTCCTAAGGTTACTTTGTTACAAATATACATTCTTGAATGAAACAAGCCCCAAAGTTTTGTGGTTATCATGTATTAAGTTTTATGAGGCTGTACGATTGTATGACACTTAACAAACTTTAAATTTGGAGAGATTGGTTTTTTGGTTTGTTTGTTTTTTGTTTTAAAGATGGGGTCTCACTCTGTGGCCCAAGGTGGAGTACAGTGGCACAGTCTTAAGCTCACTGTAACCTCGAATTCCCAGGCTCAAGTGATCCTCTTGCCTCAGCCTCCCAAGTCGCTGAAACTACAGGTGCACACCACCAGGCCTGGCTTTTTTTAAAATTATTTTTTATAGAGACAGGATCTCGCTACATTGCCCAGGCTGGTCTTGAACCCCTGGCCTCACGTGATCCTCCTTGCCTCCACCTTCCAAAGTGCTACGATTACAGGTGTGGGCCACAGTGCCTGGCCTGGGAGATTGATTTTTAAAAACAAACTCCTGTGTTATCATTACAGGCTCTAGTTGCTGAGAGCCTGCCCTGTCCCTGTCATGCTGCTTTGGGGCCTCAGCCTGGGAGCCTCTGCTCACCCCAACAGGGAGTGGCTGGCCCTGCCCTCTTCTGTCACTGCTCCTGCTGTGGAGCTGTGTCTGCTCCACTTGGTTTTTTTTTGTTGTTTTTTTTTTTGAGACAGAGTCTCACTCTGTTGCCTGGGCTAGAGTGAGCGAGGTCAGCCTAGCACACAGCAACCTCAAACTCCTGGGCTCAAGTGATCCTCCTGTCTTAGCCTCCCGAGTAGCTGGGACTACAGGTGTGTGCCACCACGCCCAGCTAATTTTTGGTTTCTGTTTTTAGTTGCCGGGCTAAGTTTTTCTATTTTTAGTAGAGACGGGGGTCTCACTCTTGCTCAGGCTGGTCTCGAACTCCTGACCTCAAACGATCCTCCCGCCTCCTCCCAGAGTGCTAGGATTACAGGCGTGAGCCACCTCATCCGGCCTCCACTTAGTTTTAATGTCTCAGCTGGGAGATTTGGTTGTGTTTTTAATTGGTAACTTTGACATATGCCAAAATAAAGTCAATCAAGAAATTCTTTCATCGATATGCATAGTCCTTAATGTTCTCTCTAGTGATTCTCAAAGCAGCTAAAAGCACAGGTTGGGGAGTCGGTGTGGGTGGGTGCTCGGGCCCCAGCACCTGAGGGTACATATGGGTCTTCCTCCGTGTGGCTTGTAATAAGGGTGGCTTTTTGTTTGTTTTTATTTTCCAGTTTACCCACACTACTTCTACAGATGATTATGCAGCATTTTGAATCCAACAAAGACTACATTTTAGAATTCAGTGGAATCTTTAATCTGTTAATAATTGTTATATGGACCCTAAGATATTTTATTACAGAGTTTTTAATTAGTAAAAAAATTCATGAATACCATAGAGAAAATATTTTAGAATTTAATGTTTCTTATATTTATGTAAACTTATGACTCTTCATTTATATAGTTACTTACTTTTTCATGTATATCCAGGCTATAAATATCCTTTGAAATCAATTCAAGTTCTTATACCTAATTTTAGTCTTTCAAAAGAATGTACTGTAATGCTTGTATGTATAAATGCTATGAATAAATATAGGGCTTTTGTAAATTATGCATTTATTGTAATTATCATTGTTTAATTTTTTAATGATAAACCATGACAAAGGATTTTACTACGTTTATAAAATTATCATGACACAAGCAATGTGCATTGTCCTTTACAAATGCAACCTAGCTCTGCAACAATCATTTGGAAATAAGCATACTTAATTTCAAGCAATTATTGTCGTATTTTAATGACTGACCTTAACTATACTTTTTCTAGCAAGAAATGCTTTCTTTTTGCAGCGTGAACAGATATAAAATACTTGGTATTAAATATCAGCCTCTAATAAAATTTGGACTGAAAGGATTATCAGAACACTATGAAATGTTAGCACTGGTTTAACTCTTTCCTAGCCTAGTCTCTGGACTTGGGCAGCTTGTCTTCAGTGACTGACAGAAGCTGGGAGCTGGGAAAAGATTTCTCAGCGGGAAAGAAAGACACGTAACCTGGGACCGGCCCAGCCCTCTGAGCCTCCTTCCCCGCTTTCCTGCCCGGAAGCATGCGGGAACGCGCCCGTACGCCTGCTCTTCGAGGACCAATCACCAAGCACTGCGCTCTCATCTCACAGACATCGGTGCGTATGGCGGATGAAGGCAGGAGATCCTGAGAACCGTGTCGTGCAACTCGAATAAAGGCCTTATGTTTCTTATGTAAATCATCTTTTTACATGTGTTTGTAAACATGTTTAAAGAGTGAACCTAGTCGTACATTTTTAGACTTTGATGATATAGCCATTTTGGATTGTGTAAGTAGCAAATGTAACTTTTCCTTTTTAAGCGGCAGATTAAAAAGCCAGCAAGCGATGTGTCAGGTCACGGTGCGTTATTTATTATGCAGCTGATACAGATAGAGACGGCTTGTCTTTTTACATTCGGTTTCTGCTTCTCATTTACTTGTACAATTCATTGTTACTGTTCTGTTTTTCTATTAATCTTTTGTGAACTTCCTGATCATGTAACAAAGTATGTACAGTCTACTTTTGAACTATTTTTATCACAGTATTATTTATTGCTTTCTTTCAATAAAGTACTGAAGCATTTTCCACTGCCAATAAAAAATGCCGAGGATAAGCTGTGATTATATTGACAGCCGGCTGCAGCTGCTCTCTCTCATCTCACAGAATCACCATGTGGAAATTACATTCTAGAATCAATCGATAGGATAAAGAAGCTGGAAGACGAAGTGTAGGTTTAGGCTGTCATCCCCCCTGGTCTTGGGCGGGTCCTGCCCGCTGCTCTGAAGCCCTGAGACTGTGTCCCATCCACACCCGAGGGGAACGCTGGAGATGGGTGGGTGGTCTCACCAGGAAGGGAGTGTGTGGGCTCCACGCACAGTCCTGGGTAGGGCTGGCCTGAGGCAGCCCTCGACCAGGCAGGTGAGGAGCCCAGGCGGTGGCTTGTGTGCCAGCGTGCACGCATGTCCCTGCAACGGTCCCTTAGCTCTGCTCCCTTCCTCCGTGTTGACTGTACTCTCCCGCCTGCTCTCCCTGCCCCGTCCCAGGGCCGCCAGAAATCAGGACGCCAAACCAAGTCCTGCATGGGGAACCAGGGCAGAGGGGAGGGGACAAGCTGCCTGGCTGGTCATGCAGGGCCCACCCTTGGAGGTGGGCAGGAGTTCAGTCCCCCACCCCCATGCTCCAGGGCTGGAAGTTGATTCCCCAGACAGGAAAGCCAGGCACTAGTGAGTGGCCCGGAGCCCTAGGACAAGGGAGCCATTCCCCTGCCTTCCTACCGCAGAGGCAGCATTGTCACCGGGCCTCAGGCTGCACAGAGCCAGCCCAGCCCACCCCACCTGGGGGCGTTTGGATGCCAGTGCTGACTCGCTGGGGTTTTCGCTTTCTGTTTTCTCTGCCCCTCGGTGGCTGACGGACTCCTGAATGACACATTTGTTTTGGGATCAATGCATTCCAGCCGGTTTCTGTCTCCGCAGAGCCAGCGGGCATGCTGTGCTTCCCTATTTAAAACCTGCGCTTGCGATCTTCCCTTTAACGTGGGGGCAGCCTCGTTTCTGCATTTCCTAGTTGGTGGGGCTAAGTGTGAGATTCGAAATGTTAATGTAGTGCCTCCCTGCTTTTTCCACCTCGTCTTTCTTTTTGGCCGAATAAAGCTAGGCAGGCCCTCAAGTATCTTAAAAGCTTCTGGAAAAACAAAATGAAACAAAAGTCATCACTGATTCCCAAGTTGCAGTCGTTTGTTTTTTTCTCTCTTTATAGAGACAGGGTCTCACCCTGTAGCCCAGGCTGGAGTGCAGTGGCGCCATAATAGCTCACTGCAATGTCGAATTCCTGGGCTCAAGGGATCCTCCCACCACAGCCTCCCAAATAGCTGGGACTACACACACACGCCACCACACCTGGCTGATTTTTTTGTTTTTCATAGAGACAGGGTCTCATTACGTGGCCCAGGCTGGTCTTGAGCTGGCTTTCACGCGATCCTCCCACCTCAGCCTTCCAAAGTGCTGGGATTAGCACCTGCGTCACCTCCCCTGGCCCAAAGACACCTTTGGAGGGCCATCACTGAACCCACTACGTTCCTCAATATTTCTCTGAAGAAGAGCACCCACCCTGTCCTAGAGATAGATGAACGGGTCAAGCAGATCACTGTCCCCAAGGCACCCACCGCCTGGTGGGAACAGAGTCCTGGAAGGGCAACACGAGTACAGAGCAGGGAGCTGCCAACCAAGCCCGGCAGTGACACCCAGGGAACAAGGGCCTGTGCTTGGGTATGGGAGGAAGCAGGAGCGTTCCAGACTCATTTGAAGTGCCATCGTGGGGTGGGGGCAGAGAAACCAAAGAGAAAACAGGACAGTTTTAAGTCACAAGGATGGCCAGGTGTGGTGGCTCAAGCCTGTAATCCTAGCACACTGGGAGGCCAAGGCAGGAGGATCACTTGAGGTCAGGAGTTCGAGACCAGCCTGAGCAAGAGCAAGACTCCGTCTCTACTAGAAACAGAAAAAATTAGCCGGGCATGGTGGTACACACCTGTAGTCCCAGCTACTCAGGAGGCTGAGGCAGGAGGATCGCTTGAGCCCAGGAGTTTGAGGTTGCAGTGAGCTAGGCTGACGCCACTACACTCTAGCCCAGGTGACAGAGCGAGACTCTGTCAAAAAAAAGCCACAAGGACACTTGGCATGCAAATGGGACAGTTCATCTTCAAACTTGAGTGTGCATACCTAGCTAAAAATGTAGACTGGGGGCCAAGGAGGCCTTGCTGTGTTAAAAGCAATTCGACATTCACTTACGGAGTACACATTGTGGACCAGGCACTTTGAGGAGCTAGAGAGACCATGATAAGACAGACAAACGTTTTAATCCTGTGCATCTAGGGTTTGAATCACACTCTGGCACGGGAGCGGAGGGAGGGAGAGGTGCCTTTGGGGAGACAGCATCAGACGCATCCCACAACATGGAACCTCCACAGTCTCTTCATGTGTAGTCAGCACCCCGCCTGGTATGAGTAATGCACACACGCTCTTCCCCAGACAGGACTTCAAGGAACACCGATGCAAACAGACCTGCATTATAATAGGTAATGTGCTTTCTCCACGTGCTCTCAGGCAACAATCCTTGTGATTTGACTCTTTCTAAATACGTTAATGAGGTCTCGCCAATCAACTTCAGAAGGAGCAGACAGGATACAATTCCCTCTTGAGGGCAGGGGACAACCACCACTGCCTCATACTGCACGGTTCTTCAAGTTGACTAGAATGAGCTCATAAAATTAAATAAAAGCAATGTAACTTAGGAATTGCAGTATTATAGAATCTATAGGGCTGAAGACGTTTTAATCATCCATTCTCCAACACCCTGTTTTCTTTTTTAATTTTTTGGTTTTAATCAAAGTATTGCATGCCCATCATTTAAAGTAAAACAAGAACAAAACCAAAAAACCCCTAGCATTCCTTGCCCCTCCTCTCTTCCTTCCCCCTGTTTTGGCTATTTCTTCTATTTGCTTCCTTCCACCGGTAAAAAGAAAATCATAATCTCAGGGCCACCCTCCCGCCCCAACTCCTTATGCAAAAGGGAAGGTGAAGGCCTCAGACCCCTGCGAAGAGCTGGCCCCGCAGATCATCCACTAAGAAAACTCCTTGCTGACCTCCCATAAGCAAAGACGTGAGACTTGTACCTACGTCCAGCACCTAAAACTAAAGTCTGTTGGATTCCACACGAATAACGAATACGAGTTTATGTTTCCAGGTAACTGAAGGGGAGACAGGATGGAATCAGACCTTCTTTCACCTCCGCAGGGGCCCCTACGGAACTAACGCTTCCTTCACTCCCTTTCTGTCTTCAGACGCTCCCCTGAGCTTAGGTAAAAGGTAGGTGTCCAGGGCCTCATAAGGATGTGACCATTGGGTCTGTGGCCACATCACCCTAAATGCTCTGATGTTGTCTGATGTCCTTAGAGCTAAGCAGGCTCAGGCCTGGTCGGTACTTGGATGGGAGACCACCTGGGAATACTGGGTGCCGTAGGCTTTTTTTTTAAAACACCAGAAAAAGAAAAGAAGGAATGCAGCCACTTGCCTCACCACTGGGCCGACAGCCTTTTTCTTTCTCTATGCCTTTAAATGCTGAAGCTTCCGAAGTCCCCTTCAGAAAAACAACCCCAGTTCTGTCTGGTTTTTGTTTTACCGGGGCATCCTCAATTTTGGCTTAATAAACCTCCATTGATTGAGATTTTTGCCTCAGTCACTTTTTGGGTCGCTACTCCTGAGTGAGCCGTGCTCCGCGTGGTCTCCTGGTCCATCCATTTGGGGCCCGTCTATTGGCTTCTCCTTGCGGTTAACGAGAATTTTTTGTTTGTTTGTTTGTGTGTTTGTGTGTTCTTTTGAGATGACGACTGATTATCAAAACTACAAGAGAGTTTCGGCCTAGATCTAGTTTCTTGCCTCTCAAGGATCCAATTATCCAGGGGCTGGGGGAAGAAAAAAGACCCAATTATTAGACAATGAGGATTGCCAAGGAAGAAAGGAATTTTAGTGCGAGTGACCTCTGTTGAGACAACAGGAGTAATAGTCTCAAACCCCTCTCGCCCACCCGCAGGGATCGTGGGCTTTTTAAGGAGGGGCCACATGCACTGGGGCAGGTCCTAGGGGGAGGTGATTCTTGGCATCAGGAATCTTGTTCAGGGGACTTCAGAATCTCAACTCTTTTGTCTTGTAAACATTCTGCCATTTCTGGCAAACAACTCAAAAAGTTCAAGTAGTTAGTTAAGGGAGGAGATTATAAAAAATACATAGAAGTCACTGAAATTTGTTCATAGAGCCAGTTACAGTCTCACTCTGTCACCCAGGCTGGGAGTGCAGTGATGTGATCAGAGCTTAGTGCAGCTTCGAACTCTTGGGCTCAAGCGATCCTCCCACCTCAGCCTCCCGAGTAGCTGGGACTACAGGCGCATGCTACCATACCTGGCACCTCCCTTTGCCTCTCCCAATCCCCCAACAGAGATAAGCCAAGGCTATTGGTGTGAACTAAAATAAAATCTTAGGCTCCCCTCAGCTGATTGAATGGACCCCTCTTGGCCAAGGGGACCCAAAAAAAACCTTAAAGCTGAGTTGCCGGCCATGAGAAGAGATGTCACACGTGGCTAGTTATGTCCTGTCCCTTTTGGAGATAGTCTTTGCAACCGTAAGATACTAAATCATTAACAGGCCTGAGGCCATGCAAGACAAAGCCTAAACCACACCTGCAAGCCATCAGTTTACTGGACCTGTCACTTGAGTTTTGGTAAATGTTGGGTGACTTGTCTCTGATTAACAGACTTCTTTAAGTTGAAACACTCCAAGCCATCACACAAAGCTTTATTTCTTTAACCAATTACAAATCAAAGAATCATTAAACCCACCTACAACCTATAAGCCCCTTCCCACCGCCTCCCTTGGAGATGTGCCACCTTTTCGAGCCAAACCAGTGTGTGCCCTCCACACGGTGACACAGGATCTTAAGTGTGGTTCGCGCTTCCAGGAACGTACAAAACCAAACTGTAACCCGGCTACTGTGGGCGCATGTTCTCAGGACGTCTGGAGGCCATGTGCTCCAGGCCAGTCACACAC